ATAAAATATAAAAACATTTATGGATGAGAAATATATTTATATTATTTATCTTTTGCATGTTCATGATGACAAAATAATACCTAAATCCTAAGTTCTTACACATTGTAAATTAGTCATTTTTCTTTGGAAATATCTTTGTTGTGCTTCTTCAAAAATATTACCAACTGTCCTCTTTAACCAAATATTTATTTTTGGTTTAATCTCTTTCGGTTTACTTTCATTTTTCTCAACTTTTTTGTCTTTAGGTATCTCTTTAGTTTCTTCTTTTGGTTTTTGTTCTTCATTTGGTGCAGTATCCTTTACYTTAGATATTTCTGTAATTGACTCTTTGAATTTTACTTCGGTCTCGTCTAAATTTTCTTTTACAGAATTCTTATCGTCATGAATTTCAATTTTTCTACGCTTGGAATCCACTGATGAATCAGATTCTGAAAGGTCAGTATCTCTATCATCATTAGCATTTTCATCATCTGAAGTGTTTGAAGAAGCACGCTTTCTATATTGACGACTTGCTTCAGATTTTTTTGTTGTCTTTTTCACTTCATCAGTCTTACCATTTTCATTCTTGCACAATTCTTCTTTAAATAAATGTCTATAAAAACTACCCATGTCTTTCTGTTTTGTTACATCATTAATGTCTTCAATCATGGAAAACTTTAATTCTTCTTCATCTAGTTTTCTTAATTCTTCCAGTTTTGCTTTGTATGAAGCAGTGACAAACGCTTCTTTATCTTTAAATTGATCTCCTTCAGCTTCCCTTTCTTTTTGAATTAATCGTTCGTTTCGACGTTCATATTCAATTTTACGTTTCTCAGCTTGGACTAATAAATTTTGTATATATCGTGGCTGAAATACAAAAATTATTAAATTCATARGTGCCAGTTTTAAAAATACTAATTCATAATTGTTTTATATATTAGACATACCTTAACATCTTTCTTCTTTTCATTGGTATGCTCTTTTTTTTTTTCCATTTCATCATAGATTTCATCGTACTGAAAAACTGTTGCATCTTCTTTCAACGCCTTATCAATAGATAATTTTACACTTCTTTGCTGAGCTTTAGTTTGGTTATTAGTCTAAAAGTGTATGAAATCAATTAAATTCTTAAAATAGTTAAAAAAAATATGGATTAATATGRCATGATTTTGATTTAAATAAACAAGAAACATATATAATTATTAGTATATAATGTATGTACTACATACATAACAATATTTTTTCACACATTATTCTAATACCAATATGAATTGAAAAAAATGGTTTTTTTTTCATATACAATTATATTATATCTATTCCATTTTAGACTATTATCATGATTTAACCACAGTCGCTTACTATACTATTATAACTATATAGTTGTAATTATATAAAATGTGTTATATAAGTTAGTTGCTATTAGRCTCATATAAAAAATTAACCAAATAATAGTTAGAAATTCAGTCAGRATTTTTGTGCGTCCAAAAAGAAATACAGCTGAAATGTTTGATTGTTATTATAATCGCACAAAACATTTGTTTTATTTATAGCTATTTATAATTATAAAATTATAATTAATCATATCAATAAATACTTGAATTGGTTTTTTTTTTGATGTTTCGTTTTCAGAATCACTGTCATCGCCAAAMACATTGGTAATCCTCTTCGGTAGGTCTGACAGTTTTTTAGGAACAATTAATCCATACCTAGAAATAAAACAATGACGAATTATTAATACATTCAATATCTTAAAGGAATATTTTCTTTAATAGGTCTTGAATTCAATCATAAATGATGCCCAAAACTATGATGTCATTTAAAGCTATTGATATTTCACTGATGTATGTCGTATTGGTTAAAAATATATATTACATATTATTCTGTCAAACCGCCCAGTAATGAATAATGTCATTTTAAGCTATCAATATTAAACTGATGTATGTGCTATTGATTAAAAATCTGATCGTTGACCAT